GCATTTAACAAAATGGGCATAATCAAGTTATAAATATAATATATATAATATATAATTATGTATATAATTACAATATAATAAAAATTATCTATTTTGTAACCTCGCTGTGAAATCAAGCAGTAAACCAACAAACCTTCCAGTGCAAGCCCGGATGTGAAAAATCCTGCAGCAAACAGAAGCTTTATGGGAACTGTAGGTAGCAACCCAAATGTTAAGTATCCAAGATAAAATCTAGCCCTAACAAGACATTGAGTCCAATGACTAATAGCCAGAATATGGCTAAAAAACATAAAACACTGCTGTGTAACCCAAACACATATTTAGCTGTGCCGCCATGGTATGGCCTCTTGCCACAAACCTCTGTGGCCACAACAGACAGGGCTTCCACTTCTGTTTGGGGTGACTCTGCTACTGAAGGAAACAGCTGCATTTAACACAGTATTCCAATTCCAGCTGAGCAGCAGCTCAATTAATTAAGGCACTCAGCATGACCCAGCAACTGGTGCTTGTGGTCCTTGTGGTCTAGAATGCCAACCTTATCCTGGGCTGTACCAAAAATGCGGACATGCTGGAGGGAGTCCAGAGGAGGGCCATGAAGACGCTAGAGGTCTGGAGCACCTCTTCTATGAAGACAGTCTGAGGGAGTTCAGATTGTTCAGTCTAGAGACAAGAAGGCTCCAGGAGGACCTTAGAACACCTTTCAGTGCCTAAAGGGGGCCAACAAGGGAGCTGAAGAGGAACTACTTAAGAGGGCATGTAATGACAAGACAGGCGGTAAGGGCTTCAAACTGAAAGAGGGAAGGTTAAGATTAGATATAAGAAAAAACTTCCTCACTATGAGGGAGGTCAGACACTGGAAAAAGTTGCCCAAAACATGTGTGCTCCATCCCTGGAAGTGCTCAAGACTAGGTTGGATGGGGCTTTAAACAACCTGTTTTACTGGAAGGTGACCGTCACCATGGCAAAGGGGTGGAATTTTAAGGATTTAAGATAAATTTTAWGGTTCTTTATAATGCAAAATCATTGCATGATTCTATGAATTGTCCCATGCAAGCCCTAGATGTGCTACTCTGGCACCCAATGAGTGAATTCAGAGTGGCGCTGGGTTTTTCCACATTGCATTGCACTGTGCTGTGCAGAAATAATTCTTTGGTCCCTGAAGCACAAATTCTTTAGGGAAGCCAAAGGGTCATAAAAGTCATGAGAGTAATAGATCATATTCATTATCTCATCTAACCTCCTGAATACCTCCACCATTGTATTTTCTTTAGACGTTAGATCAAAGCTGATTGCAAAGACTTTTGATTTCAGTTAAGATTTCAAGCAATCACAAGTAATTGATTCCTATGTTATCCTTATTGCTAGAATGGCACGGTTTAGTCAAGGTTGTGTTCATTAAACTTCCAGTCGCGGGATCACCTTATGTCATAAGACTATAAAGACCTTAAATCCCCCCAGTATTATGCTTCTTCATACATATAGTGAATCATTTCCTTCTCAACCCTATTCTTTGATAAACTGTTTCAGGTCCTTCAACCTCATGTCAAAACTGAATTTCTATCTTAAAAGGCAAACCACATCTGGACACAGTATTCCAGTCAGCTGTTATATAGATGCTATGTACACAAGAAATATAATTTCCCTATTTGTGTTCGGTATTCCTCATTTATATATTCAAGGATTGCATTAGTCCTTCTGGCAACATTGCAAACAGAACTTATGCTGAATGGGCTACATAAGAACATCCCTCCCAAAAACAATCTCCAGTCCTGGAAGTAACCACTGTGTTCCTCATCATGCTTGCAGTAGCACTAAAACACAGTATTTTTAAAAATATAACAATTGAATCCAGCTATTCAGATAATTCTTACTAGTAATATAGTTTACTAGAGAACCATAGAATAGTTTACGTTCAAAAGGATCTGAAAAATATCCAGTCTAACCTCTTGCTCAAAGCTGGGCGTGTGTCACAGTAAAACAGATTGCCCAGGTCCTTTCTCAACTCTCTGGACACCATCTTTCATGGTTTATCCACTTTCATGCATTTATTTTTATTTTATATAATAAAATCTGTATTATCTAAAAGCATAGCCAAGGAAGCCTTTATTATAGGCCTTTGAATAAAATGCTGAATTTCGCATAAAATTTAGCCATAAAACATCTACAGGCACTTTATTAGCAATAGCCTTGTTCACTGGCATCTGATCACTGATTACCTGTTAGAGAAGTGCCAGTAACCCAGTTTATAGTCCAAATAGCAGATATAAAATCTGTTAATTCAGTTTAATTTCATTGATTCAGTAAACAAAATGTGATATTGAATTAAAAGCTCCAAAGCAGCTCAAGGAAACAACAAAAAGACCAGTTGCTTTTGTCCAAAAATATATACCTTCTAAGACAGCAGGCTGGCTGGTACTCTTTTTTGTTTTTTACTTTTGCTCTTAGTGTCCTCTGTTTCTCCTGGGAGTTTGCAAAGCAAGAGCTACTGCCTCATTCCACCACCTTTCTCCAGTTGTTTAATTCAGCTGTACAATTTATGGAATTTTCCCAGCTCAGTTGATGAAAGTATTGCTCAGTGAAGTCTTTAACATTCTTGAGAACTAACTACACAGGCATGCTGATTAGAAAATGTTCAATTTCAGCAAATACCGCTCTTCATCTTCCTTGAGTACAGTTAATACTTCTATTTAAGTGTCAGAGCCAAGTGCCAATTAGTACTTGAGGCACACAAAATCTGACCAGCACTAGACATAAGATAAACCCAGAAGGACCTTACTGCTTTCCACAGGCATTCTGTTCATGGCATTAATACAACATATTGATTGGTAGAGAAGTTACTGTTATGACAGCATTTTGCTTCAAAAGTCTGTTTGCAAGATAGCACTCAAAGGAACCAAGTCTGAGGGCTATAAATTCCTATATGGAAAGCATCTTAGTAGGCTAATTTACTTGGCATCTTGCTCTTAATTTTATTTAAACATACTTCTGTATCTTTAATAAAGTTTTGTCAAATGTCATAACCGTTTGAATGTTGTCACATTAGGTTGTTATAGCTCCAAAGGTTTATTTCTTCTCCACTTGGGACTATGAACTTAATACACAGTAACATGACTACTTAAGACAAGCTACTACGTTTTATGTCAATCCAGCTGCTATGCAAGTACATAACATTTGCATAATAACAATCCTTGTGTTAATTTTGATTTTAAAAACTGCTTGCCAGGAACTATTTCTCAGCTTTGATATTTTAGCTAACTGAAACATTTTCTTACCAAGATAACCAAATAGGCTACTGTTTATTGTTAATTAATTTATTGTTAATAAATTTGTGCTGAATTCAGTTTCAGAAGTGGGTGATTCATATGTATGATTCAAAAATGATCTAAGCAAGACTCCGCAACTTATATAATTCTAAGTTGTGAAGTAGGTATGTTTATTGCAGCGCTGGGTGAGCGGGAGTTACTCCTCTAAGTCGCCCACACCTCAGCACGGTATCGCTTGGTATATATCAGGTTACATGTTACACATTCACCGAGTTTCGCAATTCGCTTATACATATTCATGACTTATCTTCATTTTGTATTATAATGAGTTCAAAAGTCATTTCTATGTGGTTACGCMTGCGCATTGTTATTTGGTAGCGGGCTCCGGGGGTCTCGGGAGGAAGTAAAATACTCATCCTCTTGTCTTGAACTTTTCACTTTTTTCTCTTGTGCATGCTCTCTGGGTGCTTGGCCCAAGTACAAACAACAACTCTGGTTTCAGCTAGTGTAGGGGTTCTACGGATACAGGCTGGGTCACAGTCTCTGCTTTTGTCAATAATCTCTTACTTTTTATTCGGCTTTGACAAACACAATCAATGTTAAGTAAGCAATATACACTGTTTAGTAAGCAGTTTCTAACAAGTTACCCTGTAACTTCTAATGTCTCTGCATCATATACATTATTTAAACTTCTCTAATTTTAAAACAGCAAAATGTAATTTCAATCTGCTCTGGAAACTTTTAATGGCAATTTTTCCACAGGTTCCCCAATTATCTATATCAGAACTTAAATACCCTTGCAGCTGAAAGCTTTAATTCATGTGCAACCTTGAACTGACGTACTTTCAAGTTCTCTGTGGTATGTGAAAAAATAGTAGGTGAAGAGAATGCTCCCTTCCCCTTTATCCCAGCACTTCCTAGGCAAATACAAGACCACAGATATTACACAGGGAAATAGTTAAAAAGGACACCATTCTTCACCCATTTATTTCTCTACAACATCCTCCACCAAAGAGAAGACAGCAAAAACTCTGCTGTCTCTGGACTCTCCCCCACTGCCGCACCTTTCTTGTACGGCAGCTGACGACATGCTTTTCATGTGGATGACAAGGGTAGAAAAACCCTAAGGCTGCCGACAAACCTCGCAGAGCTCCAGGGTGAAAGTTCACCTTCGTGGATGGTCTGTAACAGAGGCCTCCATGTTTACACAATCTGCAGCTGACCTACAAGAAGTAGTCGCCACGTGTCTGTGACCAACCTCTCGCGTTTCTTAAGGATAGCCAACCCCACACAACAGTTAAAAAAAGAGGTGATGGCTCGACCGATGAAACCGATGCCTTGGTCCATCCTTTTGGGCGACTACATGGTATGTCCCTTAATCAGAGGCTCTGCGCAGTGCCAGGAACCGCCTCTCCCGGCTTCGCGCGCGGCTTTTCCCTGCCCGCAGACAGCCATCGGACCAGGGCCTCACCCAATCACACCGYTCCCCGCGCCACTGCCCAGACCCTCAGGCACGGCACAGCGGAGTCGCACCCGCCCCAGGCGAGGCCGGGCCGCCGGATCCGGCCCCCTGCGGTTCTCCCCGCCCCGCGGAGCTGCAGAGCTCCCGCCCTCGCCCCTTTCTCTTCCTCCGCCGGCAACTGCGGCATCCCCGGGACGGCGGGACCGGCAGCGACCCGCCCCCCGCCCCCGCGCACGGCCCGGGCTGCTGCGATCCCCGCGGTCGCCGGTCTCTGCCCCGAGGCGAGCGCGGTGAGGCGGGGGCCCCTAGGGCCCAGCTCCGGCGGCGTAGCGATGCCGGCAGCCCGCGCCGGGCCGCGCCGGGCCGCTCTGCGCCCGCTGCATCGCGGCGGCCCGTGTGCGATGAGCCGCCCACCCCTGGGCACCTTCTCCGCCCCGCTCGCCTCCTCCTCCCACGGAGCCACCCTCCTCCTCCGCCCCCTCTCCCTGCCAGCCTCCTCCCCGCCCTTCCCCGCTCTCCACGCCGGTGCTGGAGCCGCGCGTCACTCGGGCTYCAGCCCCGCCGCAGACATGGCGACACTGACAGCAGTCCAGCCGCTCACGCTGGACAGAGGTAAGCGCGACTGCCGCCGCTCCCCGGCCGCGCTTCCCCGGTCACCCTGCTCGGGAGCCACCGCGGCAAGCGTCGGGTCTGCCCCCGCAGCTCCAGCGCGGCGGGCGCTGCCAGAACAGCGCTCCGGCCCCGCAGTGCCCGGGCCGGCTGTGGCGGCGGGCAGCGGGGCGCGCATTCCCGCGCCGCTCAGGTGGGCGGCGGGAGAAGGTCTGAAACGGAGGAGATAAAGTTTGTGCGGGCAGGGGTCAGGATAGGGCGGGTATCCCGCCGCCGGCAGCGCGGCGGTGCCGCAGGCACAGGATGCGGCTCCGCGGCCAGCGCTCCGGTCCGTCTCCGCCCTGCGGGGCTCCCCCGTGGGCGCTACCCGCCGTGGCTCGGCGCCGAACGAGGCCCTGCGTCGCCGCCCCCGCAGGTGTCTCGGCGGGGGATGCTCGGTGGCGGGGCAGCGCCGTTCCGGCGAGTCCGGAGCCCGAACCTCTCGACGAGAGTGTCGTTTGCCGGCACAATGCGGCTTTTTGGGGGCTCCAGCGGAGGTGTGCGGGGGACGGATGCGTGACTGGAACTTGTCCGTTCGGCTGCAAAAGAGCGGTTCTGCGTATTCCTGTAGACAGCTACTTGGTCTGGGTAGGGAGACCGTTGGTGTTGAGGTAGCCTCGAGGCTATGTCAGTAACCTTACATAGATAGTCTAAGAGGGTGCTGAATTCTTGAAGTTATGTTACAGTTCAACTTCTGCCTCCAGGATGTAAAAATTGAACCTCTCTCCCTTGCAGCACAGTTGTTCCTGTAGCAAGGCTCAGCAGAAACCTCGTTAGATTTCTGTGGGTTACAAGGGAGAATAACTTCGCTTCTACTGCTCCATCGGGTAGAGAGGTTCATCAGCTCCCAGTACGGCATCCTGAATTGCCGAGGTGTTTTTCTTCCACACTTGCATCCACAGGCTCCAAGAGGCCCCCAGTCGCTATAAATCTTGTACTCTTGAAAGCATAATTGAGGCCAGTGCGTTGTTGTTTTAAATGTTTGAGTTTTTTTCCAAAGGATTAAGATGGGTTTTTGAAGCAAGATTGAGATATTTTTTTTCTGTAAATCCTATGCAAAAGAAACACTCACTTTCAAAATTAAAAAGGAGAGGTAGGTACCTTTTCTAGAATCCATCTGAGAGCAAAACAGCCCACAAAGTACTCCAAATACTGTTTGCTGGTCTTAGATTCCAGCATTAGTAAAAAGGGAGAATCTAAAGTTATTTTTACCAAAATAACCAAGTGTTAGCCTGCACTTTAAATTAAACTGCTCAGAAATCCACTGTGTAATCTACAGTTTCACCCTAATACTGTTTTCAGTAAGCAGGGCAAATCTATTTTCTGGCAAAGGGTTGAGCAGATGGCAATCCATTAGCAAACCTGACTTTTCAAAGGAAATATTACTATTTCAGAATTATATATCCCTTATATATCCCATAGTTTGTAAAACTATGCTTTAAAAATTCCACAATACACAAACATGCAAATTAGTCCTAATTTAAATATAAGCATCTGTTTTCCGTGACAATGTTACAGTCTCCCTGGTTGTCAGACAGGGGGGATGGATATTAGTGTGAGTGAGATAAAACATCACAGAATGCTGGGATGTGATGTGCAAAATGAAAATACAGACAAGAGGAAATACCACACCTGGCCTGTAGAAGGTCCTTTCCTCAGAGGTATACACTTTGTCACTTGTAACATACTGCTACGTCAGCTGTAGAGGATGGGCTGAGGCAACTACAGAAGCAAGTAGATCAAGCCCAGTGCTTGCAGATATTTCCTCTGTTGTCTTTTTTCACAGCTATGGGAGAAGAAAAGTTCTACATGGTGAGATTTTCCAGATTCCTGTTGTTTTTGTTAAAGCAGATGACCTATGTGTAGTCACTATGATTTGCACATCTCTGCTGTGATCTGGGCACAGGCCTGAAAAGTCTTGTACCCTCATATCCATTTCATGATGTCCCACAGGGAGCTCAGCACAGCAAGAAAAAAGGGAGTGCTTCAGGAGGGGTGGCATTGTTAGCCTTGTGTTTCTGGGGGACTTGCTGCGTGATCTCTGTCCAGGGAGTGTTCTGCATTCCTCCTTGTTATGGGTTACTGACATGGTAAACATCATATGGATATATATATTAGAAATCTGAATTACGCTCTGACGTGCTCTCCTCCTGGACAAAACATCCTGACTGTATTCTACTACATAGATGGGAGCTTTCCTAAAGCCTGACATGAATGGCATTCAAAACCTGTATGGCAAAATGAATTACCATTTAAAGGTGAAGAGCATGGTGTGTGTGAATGACTGAAAGCCAATTATATTCTAGAAGATTACTTCAGTCCAAAGCACAGGAATTAATTTCCTTAATTCCTATCATCATGTGCCTTCTACCTGCACAAATGTGTGCAAGTTCCATTAGGCCTCTTTAATATGTAAAACAAGATCACAAAATAATGGAAATTTTAATCACTTACAATTTAATCTCAAAGACTTTTGCCTAACCTTTGCTTGGTGCTCTGGTGGGAGGAGGGGAAGAAATCAGCAACTTAAGAAGGCAACCTAAGGCATTAGGAGGAGTGGAGCCACTTAGAGAAAGGTGGCTGCAGCATTTGAGAGCTTTGGAAGGGGAGAGTGCCTACCTGCCAGGTGTCTTCCGACAGCCAAGTAAGTATTCTCTCGAAGAAGGTGCTCCTGTCCTACCTTTACTGCAAATGTTTTACATCTTGAATGGATAGCACCTCATCAGTAATCTCTGGTGTCCATCAGAGGTAAGGGGGATTTTTTTAGGCCAATTCAAAGCTTAAGCCCTCAAGCTATAGGAAGGTATACCTTCTTCCAGGCTGAGACAAAGTTACAGTAATGTCTTTAATAAAATGACAAGCTAAAAATAGCAAGGTTGGGAATTTTTTACTTTGTATTTTATGTTCAAAGTTATGGATTTTTAAGTACATTGCCTCCATTAAAAAGCACAAAATGCTCACTTCAATCCAACAGAGAAATGTTTAAAAACAACTATGCAGTTACTTTTCACTTCTACCATAGGCATGTCTTCAATAAGAAGGTTGTTGACACTGGTTACAAACAGCTCTGGTTGCAGTTAGTTGGCATTTTCCAACAGTGTTTGTATTGGCACACCTCTCATTGCATCCTACTGCCTTTGCCTCTCCTTTCAATGTCCTTTGTCTTCCAGAGAGCCATTGCTTCAACCCTACCCCATGAGCACCAGTAGCTCCCTTTCCCTGTATTATCCAGAGCTCCAAGTCTCCCTTGCATGTTGCCCTCTGTCACCTTGTTCTTCTCAAAGCCCTGGTATGGTTAACTCCATTGCTCTGTGCGTTGCCCTTAATCTTTATCCATTTTCACGGTTCAACAACCAAATTTCCTCCTCTAATCCTCTGTTCTTCTGCTGTCGTGTGACTGTTGGCACCACACCAGTTTGACATTGTCTCAAATGCTGCATCTAGATCCARCAACAAAGTTCTGCTTTCTCCAAGTGCAGGGTTATCTCCAGCCAGTTTAGTCTCCTTGTGGTTATATGAAGACCTCTTGTGAATTCCTGTGTGCTTCAGGAACACAATTTAAGAAATGAGAAATTAAAGCAACCTTGTGGGTGGGATCGCTTAGAGTGTGTTAGCACAGTCTGATGGAAGAATTTTCTACATGTACCATTACGCTCCTGGAAATAAGTTAGAAGGGAATAGATTTCGATGCTTCCCTTGGCACACATTTTAGAACTGGTCATATGGAGAAGCCTGCAAATTGAAGGAGCCATCTCTCTAGCTATGTATTGTAGATGTTCCACTCTATCTGAACTTTTTCATTTGGTAAATGTCTGACATATTTTTCATAAAACTTATCTTACTTCAGATTTTGCTTGTATTCTTCCCTACAACATGAAAATCTGTTTTGAAAGAAAACTGACCATGTGTTTTCTCAGACTGCTCCAAAATCTTACTCCCAGTTCCTCTGTATAGGGTCATGAAAATGGCATCTTTAAAAGGACACTTTTCAAAAGTAGTTCTTGTTTTTGAAGATATACAATTAGCCTATCCAAAGACCACCTTCTGATCAAGAACAAGGTATATCTTTTCATCTGAAGGGGGAGTCTTTCAGCTGCCTTTTAAATAATAATCCATGTCCTGCTATATTTTTCCCTATATAGTTACTAATGATGTCACTCATGGTTTCACTTCTTAATGTGACTGAGGATAAAAGAAGAAATTTGAATAGACTGAATAAACAATGCTGAACTTTAATCCCTGTGAAGTTTTATAACAAGGTCATAACTATTGGCTATTGACAACCAAATTTCTCTTCATTTCAAATACATTCTTGGAAATGGAAAGACTTCTTGCTATTTGGCTGTAATGCATAACTAAGTTCTCTTTTTTTTTTTTTTTTACAAATTGAAGCAAATATTTTTCTAGTGGAGAGTGTCCCAAAGCTTCTTGAAAGTCCTTTTAAAGCACCATGTTCAGTGACAATAAATAAGAATATGAAAAGGCTTGGAATTGCCATCAGCTGTTAGAGATATTAGACAAACTTTATCAGATGTGGTAGCAGATGGTGCCTGACCATTAATATACATGGGTACTTGCTAGAGTACTCCGCCTTCCTTCCTCTTCATCTCTTGTAATTTTTCTTCTCACTACATCCTCATAGTCCTACACAATTGTATGTGTCCACATACATCCTACATAACTGGGGATATTTTCCCCTTCTGTACCCATATATATATACACAACAGAAACTGTATCTAATGTAAGTTGCGGTAGAGGGTGCATATATTATTGTGTACATTATCTTGGAAAAAAAAATAAAACATACTTATCAGGGGGAGAAAATCAGATTCATAAAGTGTGAAATGTGGTCCTTGACAGGGGAGCAGCATAAGGCTGGATCTCTTTCGCACAGCATGAAGCCCTGTGGAGCAGCACTAAGTGATGTGCTGCTCCCTGCCTGGCTGCCTGTCTGTCATGGGAAT